ATCACCCATGGACACAATGGGTGGTGGAGGGAGGGGCAGATGAAAAGGCATCAATGGGGGGTAAAGGGGAGACATATGTAATCCTTTCAACAATAAAGATTTAAAAAAAAAAAATACGTGCTTTGGAAATATAGAAAGACATGTCTTGATTATCTTATTCAATCTCCTCTTAAATTAAAGGAAAGCACATTGACCATAACACAAGGAGGACTGTTGCACATGCTACCCACTCTTCTGTGTCCCGACCCGAGGGACAACAGCGGGGGAACCAAGAGACACCCTAGGAGAATGAAACAAACAAGGGACACGAAAGAATGGAGGCAAGACAAGTTCTGATCAAGCCTCAAATTTTATTCTTACCGCGGCAGGATATATACTGTTTTAGGGACGGGGGTGGGTGGAGAAGCCTATTAGCTTATCAGCAGGGTTGTAGCAGGCTCCTAGGATGGTTATCTTTAGCTGCTGGCCAAATCGCAGGACACACGTAGTTTCTGGTACTTAAGAGTTTCTGGAGGAACCAGAAACTTATAATTCTTAAGATGGCTTTGTCTAAGCCAATATCTCTAATGGCTCCCAACAATTCCTCCCTTTTTCTTTCTTAAGGGGCGGGCTTTAACCAACTGGGGGAGTGCTGGGGTCCAACCCCATCAGGTCCAGGGGTCCCCAAAGGTGTGGACGGAGTCGGCGAAGAAGGAATGACACGGAGGCAGAGTTCAGTTGATCAGCAGCCTAGCCAGGATCTCTAGCCAGGATCCTCAGCCAAGTTCTGTTCAGGATCTCCTGAGAGGTTCTGGTTAGGATCTCCAGCCAGGTTCTGTGTCCATGTTCTCTTGCTAGGTTCTCCAGGTTCTCCAGCCAGGTTCTGTAGCCATGTTCCCTCGCTAGGTTCTCCAGCCAGGTTCTGTCCAGGTTCTCCAGCCAGGTTCAGTCACCAGGTTCTAGTCAGGTTCTCTTGCCAATTTCTGTAGTCAGGTTCAGTCCAGGATCTTTTGCCATGTTCTCTCCAGCGAAGTTCTTCTGTCTTCTAAGTTCTGTGTGTAGGTTCTGTCTTCTTAGTTCTGTGTTCTAAGTTCTGTCTTGTTACATCTGTATTTATACCAGTTGATTCCAATCCTATCAATCTCTATTCCAAAGGTTAGGGCGTTTCTTATCTCCATTCCAGGGAGTAAAGATTATGTAGCTTAAGCATGATTGTTCGTAGTTAAAGTGATTAATTACCCACCTGGCACATTAGTTAAGAGGTTTTATTCCCTCCCTAACTTCAGGGGAAAATCCCTACCTGGGGAAACAACCTTTCTCAGAGACCTTGGTTAAAACACATAGTGCCAAGAAGGTGAGCAAACATATTAAGAACAGTATGCCATATATGCCAGGTCCCTTGAAACAGCAAGCATGGACCGGCTCCCGGCAGGGGAGTAGGGACCTGGTTCCTCCCGTGGGATGGTGGGATCCCACCGTCAGTGGCTCTTGGTGTCTTTTGGGGAGGAGAGGCAGAGCTGATAGTTATGTATGGATACCAACCTCTATGCAAACCAGGTGTGCTCACAGGGAAATCCAAAAAATTTTTGTGACCTTCCCTTGCAGTGCTTTGCCGTGCACCCAGGTCGGTGCTCATGCCTTTCTCCTTCTATGGGGAGTAGGCAAGCATCCCTCTGGCGTCATGCTGTCCCCGCAGGGAGGGAGTTTTAGCAGTCATTATAATCACATTCACGGTCTAACATGGCTAGACGATGGTAGTGTACCTGAATGGGTTTGGCCAGGACGCTATCAACCTGCTGTTTTACAAAGTCTTTTAATTTTCTAAAAGCCCAGGGGCTGAAAGCTAGGATTAGGAGAAGGCTTACAAGGGGGCCGAGAACAGGAAGCAGGTAGGGCAGAAGTCCATTCAGTCCACTCAAAAGGGGGTTCTCGAATAATTCTCTCCGTCTCTTCACTAGATCTTCTTGTGACTTCTTTATCTTGTCTCGGACGATCCCGGATTTGTTGGCATAGAAGCAGCAGCGTTCCTGTAGGGCTAAGCATATTCCTCCTTATTCTGCTGTGAGCAAATCTAACCCTCTTCTATTTTGTAGTACTACTTCAGCTAATGAATCTATCTGATCTTGGAGATCATTGATAGTGCCTGAGAGAGCTTGGACATCATCAATTACCTGGTTAGATAATTTGTTATAGGTATGCAATGCTGTTCCTAATCCGGCGGAACCGGTAGCTGCAGCTCCTTTTGGCAAAAAAAAGTCAAGAGAGGTCAATACAGAATGCTTAAGTGCCTTCCCCAGGAGGCCCTCCACACAGTGGAAAGGAATAAATCCCTTCATGTAAAACATTCAAATTCATTTGTAAATTTGTTTGGGATAAATGAACAATATACTGTTGTAAAGCATCAAAAATTAATAAAACTTGCAGAATAATACCATGTAAGAATATTCTTTGTTCTAGGTCATGACAATTCAATTTTCTAAACTCAAGGTTTGGAATGAGGAACCTACTTTTAAAAAAAAAGAAATTTACAGGAGCAGAGACAATATGTTATCTAAATTACAGTTTTGGGTAAACACATTATCTAGAGTCCTTGGGTAACCTAGGTAAAACTTACGCATATCATCTGAATTACAGTTCTTACCTGAATTAATTGTTACCATACTAAACTTTACCATGCCCCCGGTGGTCTCTGGGCTGTTGGTTGTCTGGTTTGTCTTCCTCCTGCTGGATTACACTTGGAGAACTTTACCTTAAAAAAGAAAAATCTTTCTTTTTTACACCAAGTAACCTGCAGGGTTACTTCTTGGATGTTGACTGATAGTGCCGCAAGGCCATGTATTCCAAGTCAAAGTCATTAAACATTTATGGTGACTGTACTTATTTTCAGATTTGGTATTTTAACAGCAAATCATTAGATTATCCTGTAAATATTAGTGGAAGATATTTCAAAACATTAAAATTTCTTTTTATTAAATTTAAAATAATGTTTTTGAACAGCATTACCTTTCGGCTTATTTGCATATACAGAGGGATCATGGGAAGCCTTCAGTAACTTTTTAGAAGATTTTTATTTTACTAGGATTCAATTGCTTACAAAGATTAGTAAATTTAAGTAAGTATTTTTTTTTTTTAAAAGCAAAGCAAGTAAATTTAGTATTTAGTAAATTTCTGATTCACAAGGGGCAAACGCTGCACCACTTCCAGCCTAATTTAAAATGCAGTAGTGAGGAGCTTTTAAATAAAAGACATTGCTAGTTTAAATAAAAACTTTGCTACTAATAAATCAATTCTTTCTTTTATTTGGCAGAAATTCCTTATGCAACCAAGCATATTATATTTTGAAATATTGCACTCGGGAAAAACTTCCAAATACATATCTAATTAAAACATTTTCAACACTTTTTAAACGGTTCTCAACATAATAGGATCTAGTCTTGACCATGGAATCAATTATTCTTAATTTGTTTCTGATATATGCATAACTGTGGTTCTACTGAGAATTTAAGATATCTTTTAAAAATGTATCTACAAACCTTTGAGGAAATATGAGCTCTGTTGTCGGCCCTTATAAAGCCAACTGCTTAAAACATTGGTCTATCATACCACTGAAATTATATTAAGACTGTGATTGCTAGTTTATTAAGTATTAAAAATATCTTCTTAAAAAAAGAGACTTTAAAAACTTTCAGAGCTTTGAATCTTAGATAGCAAATTAAATACTTAGCATTTTTCAAATCAATACTTTTACATTTAAGGATACATTTCAAATAAAATATAAGGCATTTTCAATTAATAGATTAACTTCTATCATCTAGACTTCATACTTAGGCATACTCAGATCAACATTTCAGTATTATAAATCTCAATACTTTTAGATCATTTGAACTTAAAAGTTTTAAGTTTCCAGCTAATAAGCAAAACCATAGCTATTCACATGTAAACTTGACTATCAACTTCCTGGTGGTACTTTGCCTCAGGGCGGGAAATTTCAAGAGAGCTACTTTAAATCGCCTTGGGAAACCTGTCTGTATTTCTTTCTCAGGTTCATCTTTGCCATTTTTAAGGCCAAAACAGTCTCAGGTTTTTATTCTGTACACAGCAAAAGGTCAAGTTCAGCTCAAAACTATGCGCACTCGTTTTTAAACTGGCCTTTTCCCTTTACATGTGTACAGAAATCCCGGATGCATTTTTAAATTTGTAAAAGCTTTTCAGTTACAAGAAGGACTTTAATTTTAGAATACTTGGGGAGGGGGCGTCCACACTGGATCGCCACGTGCTCCTTCTTCCCTTCCCCCCACATCCTGCTTTTGGGGGAAGTTTCAGCAAATGACTCAGATGGCGTATTTTTCCCAAAGTCATGCTTAATAGAAGATATTTTAAATTTTTTCCTATTTCGCTTTCTAAAGTCATGGCTAGCACCCAAGGTTATCTTAGCCAAAGTTTGGTTGTCATAAGATGTTCTCCGGTAATTTTTAAATAAAACATTAAGTAATCTTATTGCGGGAGAGCTTGTAACTCTGCTCTCTCTTGCCACCTTTGAATCTCTCCACACCAGAGGCGGATTTAACAGCGGGGTTTCATTTCTTATTACAGATTTTGGATTCCAAATACAAATTAAGATAAGAAAACACATTAAGATGACCATGCTACTATTTTTTCAGCCTGATTTTAAGGAGTACCTTTTAATATTCCAATTTCTTTATAATTTGGCCTTTTTGCACAGGTGATTCTATTAACGGCAAATTAAACATTTCAGGATTAGGACACGGAGGTGGAGGGAGCCATGAAGGCCATTTCTCCCATTTTTTTTCTTTCTGCTCCTCTTAAGGAGCGGAGGGTGCAAGGGGGAGGAGATCCATCCTCCTTGACCTCTTCTAAAGCCTCTAGGAAATGAAATGCCGTGTTCTACAAGGGGAAACAATTTTTGGCAAGTTCTGATTAACTTTTTGGCAAACTTTTAAGATCTAATGTACCTTTTTCAAGAAACCAAGGGTTATGTTCTATAATAACATGCAAAAACTATAAAAGATTACCTTCTAAAATTTTAACACTTTAAACATGCAAATCAAAAGTCTATAATAAACCATGAGCAAAGGTCAGTGACGAAAGTGAAAAAATTCCTTAAATCTTTCTTTTTAACCCGAAATCCTCAAGCCTTGAGGGACTCCCTGAGCCCTCTGAGAAATCCTTAAATCTTTCTTTTTAACCCGAAAATCTCGCGCCTTGAGGGACTCCCTGAGCCCCCTGAGAAATGCCTAAATCCTTCTCTTAACCCTTACTCCCCGTGTCCTGAGGGACTCCCTGAGCCCACCTAGAAATACCTCATGAGAGTTCAGTGAGTTGCCCATTATTTTGGCTGGGTAGTTCTCAAGATTTCCTCCTCCACGTAAGCCTCTGGGACGTATAAACCCCGTGCCAGGTCAGCTGGGAATTTCTTAAATCTCTGGTGATCCTTATGTAACCGCTCTCCTTTTACCTTACGGCCTCTGCTCGCGTGTCATAGGTTGGGATGTATAAGCCCCATACCAGGATGGCAACCACTAAGACTTAGCGAGCTCAGAGTTTGCCAGAGAGGGCGACACAGGTCGGGCCAGAGAAGAATTACTTTTCCCAGTGATTCAGAGTTTTCACTGCCGGTGTCGGGTACCCTTCACTCTTCCCCGAACGGCGAGGTGAAGCGCTTATTAGTGGACTGGAGGGAGATCAAGAAAACTAAAAAGGCCAGCCAAAGAGGGTGAGGGCTCTCAAGAGGTATTTTGAAATTCTTGTTTGAAAAGTTTCGTCTGCTTACCTTCACAACGATGTGTCTCACGGGCGGGCGAAACCGTGGCGATCAAGATGCCGAGTCTTCACTCGCGAGTCAATACTGCGCGGCGACTCTATGGGGTGCCTGGCCAGGCGCTTCCAAGCAGACGTTCTCGCAGGGGGTCCCCAAGTCGCCCCACGTTGGGCGCCAGACTGTCCCGACCCGCGGGACAACAGCGGGGGAACCAAGAGACACCCTAGGAGAATGAAACAAACAAGGGACACGAAAGAATGGAGGCAAGACAGGATTCTGATCAAGCCTCAAATTTTATTCTTACCGCGGCAGGATATATACTGTTTTAGGGACGGGGGGTGGGTGGAGAAGCCTATTAGCTTATCAGCAGGGGTGTAGCAGGCTCCGATGTGGCGGTAGTTGCTTCAGGGAATAGGATGGTTATCTTTAGCTGCTGGCCAAATCGCAGGACACACGTAGTTTCTGGTAATTAGGAGTTTCTGGAGGAACCAGAAACTTATAATTCTTAAGATGGCTTTGTCTAAGCCAATATCTCTAATGGCTCCCAACAGTTCCTCCCTTTTTCCTTATTAAGGGGCGGGCTTTAACCGACTGGGGGAGTAGGGACCTGGTTCCTCCCGTGGGATGGTGGGATCCCACCTTCAGTGGCTCTTGGTATCTTTTGGGGAGGAGAGGCAGAGCCGATAGTTATGTATGGATACCAGCCTCAGTGCAAACCAGGTGTGCTCACAGGGAAATCCAGAGGCGGTCGAAAATTTTTGTGACCTTCCCTTGCAGTGCTTTGCCGTGCACCCAGGTCGGTGCCCATGCCTTTCTCCTTCTATGGGGAGTAGGCAAGCATCCCTCTGGCGTCATGCTGTCCCCGCAGGGAGGGAGTTTTAGCAGTCATAATCACAATCACGGTCTAACATGGCTAGACGATGGTAGTGTACCTGAATGGGTTTGGCCAGGACGCTATCAACCTGCTGTTTTACAAAGTCTGTTAATTTTCTAAAAGCCCAGGGGCCGAAAGCTAGGATTAGGAGAAGGCTTATAAGGGGGCCGAGAACAGGAAGCAGGTAGGGCAGGAGTCCGTTCAGTCCACTCCAAAGGGGGTTCTCGAATAATTCTCTCCGTCTCTTCACTAGATCTTCTTGTAACTTCTTTATCTTGTCTCGGACGATCCCGGATTTGTTGGCATAGAAGCAGCAGCGTTCCTGTAGGGCTAAGCATATTCCTCCCTGTTCTGCTGTGAGCAAATCTAACCCTCTTCTATTTTGTAGTACTACTTCAGCTAATGAATCTATCTGATCTTGGAGATCATTGATAGTGCCTGAGAGAGCTTGGACATCATCAATTAGCTGGTTAGATAATTTGTTATAGGTATGCAATGCTGTTCCTAAAAAAAGGTCAAGAGAGGTCAATACAGAATGCTTAAATGCCTTCCCCAGGAGGGAATAAATCCCTTCACATTCTCAAAATATCCAAGGTAAATATTAATTTGTAAGTTTGTTTGGGATAAATGCACAATATACTATTGTAAAGCATCAAAAATTAATAAAACTTTGTAGAATAATACCATGTAACAATATTCTTTGTTCTAGGTCATGACAATTCAATTTTAAATTGGCTGTCTCCAGGTTTGGAATGAGGGACCTAGTTTGCAAAAAAAAGCAATTTACAGAAACGGACAGCATGCCATCCAAACTACAGTTTTGGGTAAACACATTATCTAGAGTCCTTGGGTAACCTAGGTAAAACTTAGGCATGTTATCTGAATTACAGTTTTTACCTGAATTAATTGTTACCATACTTCACTTTACCATGCCCCAGGTGGTCTCTGGGCTGTTGGTTGTCTGGTTTGTCTTCCTCCTGTTGGATTACACTTGGAGAACTTTAACTTAAAAATGAAAAATCTTTCTTTTCTTACACCAAGGAACCTGCAGGGTTACTTCTTGGATGTCGACTGATAGTGCCGCAAGGCCATGTATTCCAAGTCAAAGTCATTAAACATTTATGGTGACTGTACTTATTTTCAGATTTGGTATTTTAACAGCAAATCATTAGATTATCCTGTAAATATTAGTGGAAGATATTTCAAAACATTAAAATTTCTCCTTTTTATTAAATTTAAAATAATGTTTTTGAACAGCGTTCCCTTTCGGCTTATTTGCATATACAGAGGGATCATGGGAAGCCTTCAGTAACTTTTTAGAAGATTTTTATTTTACTAGGATTCAATTGCTTACAAAGATTAGTAAATTTAAGTAAGTATTTTTTTTTTTTTTTTAAAAAAAGGCAAAGCAAGTAAATTTAGTATTTAGTAAATTTCTGATTCACAAGGGGCAAACGCTGCACCACTTCCAGCCTAATTTAAAATGCAGTAGTGAGGAGCTTTTAAATAAAAGACATTGCTAGTTTAAATAAAGACTTTGCTACTAATAAATCAATTCTTTCTTTTATTTGGCAGAAATTCCTTATGCAACCAAGCATATTATATTTTGAAATATTGCACTCGGGAAAAACTTCCAAATACATATCTAATTAAAACATTTTCAACACTTTTTAAAGGGTTCTCAACATAATAGGATCTAGTCTTGACCATGGAATCAATTATTCTTAATTTGTTTATGATATATGCATAACTGTGGTTCTACTGAGAATTTAAGATATCTTTTAAAAATATATCTACAAACCTTTTAAGAAATATGAGCTCTATTGTCGGCCCTTATAAAGCCAACTGCTTAAAACATTGGTCTATCATACTCGTTTTTAAACTGGCCTTTTCCCTTTACATGTGTACAGAAATCCCGGATGCATTTTTAAATTTGTAAAAGCTTTTCAGTTACAAGAAGGACTTTAATTTTAGAATACTTGGGGACGGGGCGTCCACACTGGATCGCCACGTGCTCCTTCTTCCCTTCCCCCACATTCTGCTTTTGGTGGAAGTTTCAGCAAATGACTCAGATGGCGTATTTTTCCCAAAGTCATGCTTAATAGGAGATATTTTAAATTTTTTCCTATTTCGCTTTCTAAAGTCATGGCTAGCACCCAAGGTTATCTTAGCCAAAGTTTGGTTGTCATAAGATGTTCTCCGGTAATTTTTAAATAAAACATTAAGTAATCTTATTGCGGGAGAGCTTGTAACTCTGCTCTCTCTTGCCACCTTTGAATCTCTCCACACCAGAGGCGGATTTAACAGCGGGGTTTCACTTCTTATTACAGATTTTGGATTCCAAATACAAATTAAGATAAGAAAACACATTAAGATGACCATGCTACTATTTTTTCAGCCTGATTTTAAGGAGTACCTTTTAATATTCCAATTTCTTTATAATTTGGCCTTTTTGCACAGGTGATTCTATTAACGGCAAATTAAACATTTCAGGATTAGGACACGGAGGTGGAGGGAGCCATGAAGGCCATTTCTCCCATTTTTTTTTCTTTCTGCTCCTCTTAAGGAGCGGAGGGTGCAAGGGGGAGGAGATCCATCCTCCTTGACCTCTTCTAAAGCCTCTAGGAAATGAAATGCCGTGTTCTACAAGGGGAAACAATTTTTGGCAAGTTCTGATTAACTTTTTGGCAAACTTTTAAGATCTAATGTACCTTTTTCAAGAAACCAAGGGTTATGTTCTATAATAACATGCAAAAACTATAAAAGATTACCTTCTAAAATTTTAACACTTTAAACATGCAAATCAAAAGTCTATAATAAACCATGAGCAAAGGTCAGTGACGAAAGTGAAAAAATTCCTTAAATCTTTCTTTTTAACCCGAAATGCTCGAGCCTTGAGGGACTCCCTGAGCCCTCTGAGAAATCCTTAAAGCTTTCTTTTTAACCCGAAAATCTCGCGCCTTGAGGGACTCCCTGAGCCCCCTGAGAAATGCCTAAATCCTTCTCTTAACCCTTACTCCCCGTGTCCTGAGGGACTCCCTGAGCCCACCTAGAAATACCTCATGAGAGTTCAGTGAGTTGCCCATTATTTTGGCTGGGTAGTTCTCAAGATTTCCTCCTCCACGTAAGCCTCTGGGACGTATAAACCCCGTGCCAGGTCAGCTGGGAATTTCTTAAATCTCTGGTGATCCTTATGTAACCGCTCTCCTTTTACCTTACGGCCTCTGCTCGCGTGTCATAGGTTGGGATGTATAAGCCCCATACCAGGATGGCAACCACTAAGACTTAGCGAGCTCAGAGTTTGCCAGAGAGGGCGACACAGGTCGGGCCAGAGAAGAATTACTTTTCCCAGTGATTCAGAGTTTTCACTGCCGGTGTCGGGTACCCTTCACTCTTCCCCGAACGGCGAGGTGAAGCGCTTATTAGTGGACTGGAGGGAGATCAAGAAAACTAAAAAGGCCAGCCAAAGAGGGTGAGGGCTCTCAAGAGGTATTTTGAAATTCTTGTTTGAAAAGTTTCGTCTGCTTACCTTCACAACGATGTGTCTCACGGGCGGGCGAAACCGTGGCGATCAAGATGCCGAGTCTTCACTCGCGAGTCAATACTGCGCGGCGACTCTATGGGGTGCCTGGCCAGGCGCTTCCAAGCAGACGTTCTCGCAGGGGGTCCCCAAGTCGCCCCACGTTGGGCGCCAGACTGTCCCGACCCGCGGGACAACAGCGGGGGAACCAAGAGACACCCTAGGAGAATGAAACAAACAATTGACACGAAAGAATGGAGGCAAGACAGGATTCTGATCAAGCCTCAAATTTTATTCTTACCGCGGCAGGATATATACTGTTTTAGGGACGGGGGGTGGGTGGAGAAGCCTATTAGCTTATCAGCAGGGGTGTAGCAGGCTCCGATGTGGCGGTAGTTGCTTCAGGGAATAGGATGGTTATCTTTAGCTGCTGGCCAAATCGCAGGACACACGTAGTTTCTGGTAATTAGGAGTTTCTGGAGGAACCAGAAACTTATAATTCTTAAGATGGCTTTGTCTAAGCCAATATCTCTAATGGCTCCCAACAGTTCCTCCCTTTTTCCTTATTAAGGGGCGGGCTTTAACCGACTGGGGGAGTAGGGACCTGGTTCCTCCCGTGGGATGGTGGGATCCCACCTTCAGTGGCTCTTGGTATCTTTTGGGGAGGAGAGGCAGAGCCGATAGTTATGTATGGATACCAGCCTCAGTGCAAACCAGGTGTGCTCACAGGGAAATCCAGAGGCGGTCGAAAATTTTTGTGACCTTCCCTTGCAGTGCTTTGCCGTGCACCCAGGTCGGTGCCCATGCCTTTCTCCTTCTATGGGGAGTAGGCAAGCATCCCTCTGGCGTCATGCTGTCCCCGCAGGGAGGGAGTTTTAGCAGTCATAATCACAATCACGGTCTAACATGGCTAGACGATGGTAGTGTACCTGAATGGGTTTGGCCAGGACGCTATCAACCTGCTGTTTTACAAAGTCTGTTAATTTTCTAAAAGCCCAGGGGCCGAAAGCTAGGATTAGGAGAAGGCTTACAAGGGGGCCGAGAACAGGAAGCAGGTAGGGCAGGAGTCCGTTCAGTCCGCTCCAAAGGGGGTTCTCGAATAATTCTCTCCGTCTCTTCACTAGATCTTCTTGTAACTTCTTTATCTTGTCTCGGACGATCCCGGATTTGTTGGCATAGAAGCAGCAGCATTCCTGTAGGGCTAAGCATATTCCTCCCTGTTCTGCTGTGAGCAAATCTAACCCTCTTCTATTTTGTAGTACTACTTCAGCTAATGAATCTATCTGATCTTGGAGATCATTGATAGTGCCTGAGAGAGCTTGGACATCATCAATTAGCTGGTTAGATAATTTGTTATAGGTATGCAATGCTGTTCCTAAAAAAAGGTCAAGAGAGGTCAATACAGAATGCTTAAGTGCCTTCCCCAGGAGGGAATAAATCCCTTCACATTCTCAAAATATCCAAGGTAAATATTAATTTGTAAGTTTGTTTGGGATAAATGCACAATATACTATTGTAAAGCATCAAAAATTAATAAAACTTTGTAGAATAATACCATGTAACAATATTCTTTGTTCTAGGTCATGACAATTCAATTTTAAATTGGCTGTCTCCAGGTTTGGAATGAGGGACCTAGTTTGCAAAAAAAAGCAATTTACAGAAACGGACAGCATGCCATCCAAACTACAGTTTTGGGTAAACACATTATCTAGAGTCCTTGGGTAACCTAGGTAAAACTTAGGCATGTTATCTGAATTACAGTTTTTACCTGAATTAATTGTTACCATACTTCACTTTACCATGCCCCAGGTGGTCTCTGGGCTGTTGGTTGTCTGGTTTGTCTTCCTCCTGTTGGATTACACTTGGAGAACTTTAACTTAAAAATGAAAAATCTTTCTTTTCTTACACCAAGGAACCTGCAGGGTTACTTCTTGGATGTCGACTGATAGTGCCGCAAGGCCATGTATTCCAAGTCAAAGTCATTAAACATTTATGGTGACTGTACTTATTTTCAGATTTGGTATTTTAACAGCAAATCATTAGATTATCCTGTAAATATTAGTGGAAGATATTTCAAAACATTAAAATTTCTCCTTTTTATTAAATTTAAAATAATGTTTTTGAACAGCGTTCCCTTTCGGCTTATTTGCATATACAGAGGGATCATGGGAAGCCTTCAGTAACTTTTTAGAAGATTTTTATTTTACTAGGATTCAATTGCTTACAAAGATTATTAAATTTAATTAAGTATTTTTTTTTTTTTTTTTTTAAAAAAAGGCAAAGCAAGTAAATTTAGTATTTAGTAAATTTCTGATTCACAAGGGGCAAACGCTGCACCACTTCCAGCCTAATTTAAAATGCAGTAGTGAGGAGCTTTTAAATAAAAGACATTGCTAGTTTAAATAAAGACTTTGCTACTAATAAATCAATTCTTTCTTTTATTTGGCAGAAATTCCTTATGCAACCAAGCATATTATATTTTGAAATATTGCACTCGGGAAAAACTTCCAAATACATATCTAATTAAAACATTTTCAACACTTTTTAAAGGGTTCTCAACATAATAGGATCTAGTCTTGACCATGGAATCAATTATTCTTAATTTGTTTATGATATATGCATAACTGTGGTTCTACTGAGAATTTAAGATATCTTTTAAAAATATATCTACAAACCTTTTAAGAAATATGAGCTCTATTGTCGGCCCTTATAAAGCCAACTGCTTAAAACATTGGTCTATCATACTCGTTTTTAAACTGGCCTTTTCCCTTTACATGTGTACAGAAATCCCGGATGCATTTTTAAATTTGTAAAAGCTTTTCAGTTACAAGAAGGACTTTAATTTTAGAATACTTGGGGACGGGGCGTCCACACTGGATCGCCACGTGCTCCTTCTTCCCTTCCCCCACATTCTGCTTTTGGTGGAAGTTTCAGCAAATGACTCAGATGGCGTATTTTTCCCAAAGTCATGCTTAATAGGAGATATTTTAAATTTTTTCCTATTTCGCTTTCTAAAGTCATGGCTAGCACCCAAGGTTATCTTAGCCAAAGTTTGGTTGTCATAAGATGTTCTCCGGTAATTTTTAAATAAAACATTAAGTAATCTTATTGCGGGAGAGCTTGTAACTCTGCTCTCTCTTGCCACCTTTGAATCTCTCCACACCAGAGGCGGATTTAACAGCGGGGTTTCATTTCTTATTACAGATTTTGGATTCCAAATACAAATTAAGATAAGAAAACACATTAAGATGACCATGCTACTATTTTTTCAGCCTGATTTTAAGGAGTACCTTTTAATATTCCAATTTCTTTATAATTTGGCCTTTTTGCACAGGTGATTCTATTAACGGCAAATTAAACATTTCAGGATTAGGACACGGAGGTGGAGGGAGCCATGAAGGCCATTTCTCCCATTTTTTTTTCTTTCTGCTCCTCTTAAGGAGCGGAGGGTGCAAGGGGGAGGAGATCCATCCTCCTTGACCTCTTCTAAAGCCTCTAGGAAATGAAATGCCGTGTTCTACAAGGGGAAACAATTTTTGGCAAGTTCTGATTAACTTTTTGGCAAACTTTTAAGATCTAATGTACCTTTTTCAAGAAACCAAGGGTTATGTTCTATAATAACATGCAAAAACTATAAAAGATTACCTTCTAAAATTTTAACACTTTAAACATGCAAGTCAAAAGTCTATAATAAACCATGAGCAAAGGTCAGTGACGAAAGTGAAAAAATTCCTTAAATCTTTCTTTTTAACCCGAAATGCTCGAGCCTTGAGGGACTCCCTGAGCCCTCTGAGAAATCCTTAAAGCTTTCTTTTTAACCCGAAAATCTCGCGCCTTGAGGGACTCCCTGAGCCCCCTGAGAAATGCCTAAATCCTTCTCTTAACCCTTACTCCCCGTGTCCTGAGGGACTCCCTGAGCCCACCTAGAAATACCTCATGAGAGTTCAGTGAGTTGCCCATTATTTTGGCTGGGTAGTTCTCAAGATTTCCTCCTCCACGTAAGCCTCTGGGACGTATAAACCCCGTGCCAGGTCAGCTGGGAATTTCTTAAATCTCTGGTGATCCTTATGTAACCGCTCTCCTTTTACCTTACGGCCTCTGCTCGCGTGTCATAGGTTGGGATGTATAAGCCCCATACCAGGATGGCAACCACTAAGACTTAGCGAGCTCAGAGTTTGCCAGAGAGGGCGACACAGGTCGGGCCAGAGAAGAATTACTTTTCCCAGTGATTCAGAGTTTTCACTGCCGGTGTCGGGTACCCTTCACTCTTCCCCGAACGGCGAGGTGAAGCGCTTATTAGTGGACTGGAGGGAGATCAAGAAAACTAAAAAGGCCAGCCAAAGAGGGTGAGGGCTCTCAAGAGGTATTTTGAAATTCTTGTTTGAAAAGTTTCGTCTGCTTACCTTCACAACGATGTGTCTCACGGGCGGGCGAAACCGTGGCGATCAAGATGCCGAGTCTTCACTCGCGAGTCAATACTGCGCGGCGACTCTATGGGGTGCCTGGCCAGGCGCTTCCAAGCAGACGTTCTCGCAGGGGGTCCCCAAGTCGCCCCACGTTGGGCGCCAGACTGTCCCGACCCGCGGGACAACAGCGGGGGAACCAAGAGACACCCTAGGAGAATGAAACAAACAAGGGACACGAAAGAATGGAGGCAAGACAGGATTCTGATCAAGCCTCAAATTTTATTCTTACCGCGGCAGGATATATACTGTTTTAGGGGCGGGGGGTGGGTGGAGAAGCCTATTAGCTTATCAGCAGGGGTGTAGCAGGCTCCGATGTGGCGGTAGTTGCTTCAGGGAATAGGATGGTTATCTTTAGCTGCTGGCCAAATCGCAGGACACACCACGTAGTTTCTGGTAATTAGGAGTTTCTGGAGGAACCAGAAACTTATAATTCTTAAGATGGCTTTGTCTAAGCCAATATCTCTAATGGCTCCCAACAGTTCCTCCCTTTTTCCTTATTAAGGGGCGGGCTTTAACCGACTGGGGGAGTAGGGACCTGGTTCCTCCCGTGGGATGGTGGGATCCCACCTTCAGTGGCTCTTGGTATCTTTTGGGGAGGAGAGGCAGAGCCGATAGTTATGTATGGATACCAACCTCAGTGCAAACCAGGTGTGCTCACAGGGAAATCCAGAGGCGGTCGAAAATTTTTGTGACCTTCCCTTGCAGTGCTTTGCCGTGCACCCAGGTCGGTGCCCATGCCTTTCTCCTTCTATGGGGAGTAGGCAAGCATCCCTCTGGCGTCATGCTGTCCCCGCAGGGAGGGAGTTTTAGCAGTCATAATCACAATCACGGTCTAACATGGCTAGACGATGGTAGTGTACCTGAATGGGTTTGGCCAGGACGCTATCAACCTGCTGTTTTACAAAGTCTGTTAATTTTCTAAAAGCCCAGGGGCCGAAAGCTAGGATTAGGAGAAGGCTTACAAGGGGGCCGAGAACAGGAAGCAGGTAGGGCAGGAGTCCGTTCAGTCCGCTCCAAAGGGGGTTCTCGAATAATTCTCTCCGTCTCTTCACTAGATCTTCTTGTAACTTCTTTATCTTGTCTCGGACGATCCCGGATTTGTTGGCATAGAAGCAGCAGCATTCCTGTAGGGCTAAGCATATTCCTCCCTGTTCTGCTGTGAGCAAATCTAACCCTCTTCTATTTTGTAGTACTACTTCAGCTAATGAATCTATCTGATCTTGGAGATCATTGATAGTGCCTGAGAGAGCTTGGACATCATCAATTAGCTGGTTAGATAATTTGTTATAGGTATGCAATGCTGTTCCTAAAAAAAGGTCAAGAGAGGTCAATACAGAATGCTTAAGTGCCTTCCCCAGGAGGGAATAAATCCCTTCACATTCTCAAAATATCCAAGGTAAATATTAATTTGTAAGTTTGTTTGGGATAAATGCACAATATACTATTGTAAAGCATCAAAAATTAATAAAACTTTGTAGAATAATACCATGTAACAATATTCTTTGTTCTAGGTCATGACAATTCAATTTTAAATTGGCTGTCTCCAGGTTTGGAATGAGGGACCTAGTTTGCAAAAAAAAGCAATTTACAGAAACGGACAGCATGCCATCCAAACTACAGTTTTGGGTAAACACATTATCTAGAGTCCTTGGGTAACCTAGGTAAAACTTAGGCATGTTATCTGAATTACAGTTTTTACCTGAATTAATTGTTACCATACTTCACTTTACCATGCCCCAGGTGGTCTCTGGGCTGTTGGTTGTCTGGTTTGTCTTCCTCCTGTTGGATTACACTTGGAGAACTTTAACTTAAAAATGAAAAATCTTTCTTTTCTTACACCAAGGAACCTGCAGGGTTACTTCTTGGATGTCGACTGATAGTGCCGCAAGGCCATGTATTCCAAGTCAAAGTCATTAAACATTTATGGTGACTGTACTTATTTTCAGATTTGGTATTTTAACAGCAAATCATTAGATTATCCTGTAAATATTAGTGGAAGATATTTCAAAACATTAAAATTTCTCCTTTTTATTAAATTTATAATAATGTTTTTGAACAGCGTTCCCTTTCGGCTTATTTGCATATACAGAGGGATCATGGGAAGCCTTCAGTAACTTTTTAGAAGATTTTTATTTTACTAGGATTCAATTGCTTACAAAGATTAGTAAATTTAAGTAAGTATTTTTTTTTTTTTTTTTTTTTAAAAAGGCAAAGCAAGTAAATTTAGTATTTAGTAAATTTCTGATTCACAAGGGGCAAACGCTGCACCACTTCCAGCCTAATTTAAAATGCAGTAGTGAGGAGCTTTTAAATAAAAGACATTGCTAGTTTAAATAAAGACTTTGCTACTAATAAATCAATTCTTTCTTTTATTTGGCAGAAATTCCTTATGCAACCAAGCATATTATATTTTGAAATATTGCACTCGGGAAAAACTTCCAAATACATATCTAATTAAAACATTTTCAACACTTTTTAAACGGTTCTCAACATAATAGGATCTAGTCTTGACCATGGAATCAATTATTCTTAATTTGTTTATGATATATGCATAACTGTGGTTCTACTGAGAATTTAAGATATCTTTTAAAAATATATCTACAAACCTTTTAAGAAATATGAGCTCTATTGTCGGCCCTTATAAAGCCAACTGCTTAAAACATTGGTCTATCATACTCGTTTTTAAACTGGCCTTTTCCCTTTACATGTGTACAGAAATCCCGGATGCATTTTTAAATTTGTAAAAGCTTTTCAGTTACAAGAAGGACTTTAATTTTAGAATACTTGGGGACGGGGCGTCCACACTGGATCGCCACGTGCTCCTTCTTCCCTTCCCCCACATTCTGCTTTTGGTGGAAGTTTCAGCAAATGACTCAGATGGCGTATTTTTCCCAAAGTCATGCTTAATAGGAGATATTTTAAATTTTTTCCTATTTCGCTTTCTAAAGTCATGGCTAGCACCCAAGGTTATCTTAGCCAAAGTTTGGTTGTCATAAGATGTTCTCCGGTAATTTTTAAATAAAACATTAAGTAATCTTATTGCGGGAGAGCTTGTAACTCTGCTCTCTCTTGCCACCTTTGAATCTCTCCACACCAGAGGCGGATTTAACAGCGGGGTTTCATTTCTTATTACAGATTTTGGATTCCAAATACAAATTAAGATAAGAAAACACATTAAGATGACCATGCTACTATTTTTTCAGCCTGATTTTAAGGAGTACCTTTTAATATTCCAATTTCTTTATAATTTGGCCTTTTTGCACAGGTGATTCTATTAACGGCAAATTAAACATTTCAGGATTAGGACACGGAGGTGGAGGGAGCCATGAAGGCCATTTCTCCCATTTTTTTTTCTTTCTGCTCCTCTTAAGGAGCGGAGGGTGCAAGGGGGAGGAGATCCATCCTCCTTGACCTCTTCTAAAGCCTCTAGGAAATGAAATGCCGTGTTCTACAAGGGGAAACAATTTTTGGCAAGTTCTGATTAACTTTTTGGCAAACTTTTAAGATCTAATGTACCTTTTTCAAGAAACCAAGGGTTATGTTCTATAATAACATGCAAAAACTATAAAAGATTACCTTCTAAAATTTTAACACTTTAAACATGCAAGTCAAAAGTCTATAATAAACCATGAGCAAAGGTCAGTGACGAAAGTGAAAAAATTCCTTAAATCTTTCTTTTTAACCCGAAATGCTCGAGCCTTGAGGGACTCCCTGAGCCCTCTGAGAAATCCTTAAAGCTTTCTTTTTAACCCGAAAATCTCGCGCCTTGAGGGACTCCCTGAGCCCCCTGAGAAATGCCTAAATCCTTCTCTTAACCCTTACTCCCCGTGTCCTGAGGGACTCCCTGAGCCCACCTAGAAATACCTCATGAGAGTTCAGTGAGTTGCCCATTATTTTGGCTGGGTAGTTCTCAAGATTTCCTCCTCCACGTAAGCCTCTGGGACGTATAAACCCCGTGCCAGGTCAGCTGGGAATTTCTTAAATCTCTGGTGATCCTTATGTAACCGCTCTCCTTTTACCTTACGGCCTCTGCTCGCGTGTCATAGGTTGGGATGTATAAGCCCCATACCAGGATGGCAACCACTAAGACTTAGCGAGCTCAGAGTTTGCCAGAGAGGGCGACACAGGTCGGGCCAGAGAAGAATTACTTTTCCCAGTGATTCAGAGTTTTCACTGCCGGTGTCGGGTACCCTTCACTCTTCCCCGAACGGCGAGGTGAAGCGCTTATTAGTGGACTGGAGGGAGATCAAGAAAACTAAAAAGGCCAGCCAAAGAGGGTGAGGGCTCTCAAGAGGTATTTTGAAATTCTTGTTTGAAAAGTTTCGTCTGCTTACCTTCACAACGATGTGTCTCACGGGCGGGCGAAACCGTGGCGATCAAGATGCCGAGTCTTCACTCGCGAGTCAATACTGCGCGGCGACTCTATGGGGTGCCTGGCCAGGCGCTTCCAAGCAGACGTTCTCGCAGGGGGTCCCCAAGTCGCCCCACGTTGGGCGCCAGACTGTCCCGACCCGCGGGACAACAGCGGGGGAACCAAGAGACACCCTAGGAGAATGAAACAAACAAGGGACACGAAAGAATGGAGGCAAGACAAGTTCTGATCAAGCCTCAAATTTTATTCTTACCGCGGCAGGATATATACTGTTTTAGGGATGGGGGGTGGGTGGAGAAGCCTATTAGCTTATCAGCAGGGTTGTAGCAGGCTCCGATGTGGCGGTAGTTGCTTCAGGGAATAGGATGGTTATCTTTAGCTGCTGGCCAAATCGCAGGACACACGTAGTTTCTGGTAATTAGGAGTTTCTGGAGGAACCAGAAACTTATAATTCTTAAGATGGCTTTGTCTAAGCCAATATCTCTAATGGCTCCCAACACTTCTGGGTGAGAGCGGACAGTCAGTGAGAAGTGGAGTGTTAATCTAGTTAGACAAAGGAAAAAACTATCCTGACGTCTGCCACCCAGGAGTCACGATTTCAGTGCTTCCTAAAACATGGATGACGTCCCTACCTGTCAGTGTTGTTTATCCCCGGGACCCAGCCTAGTCCCTGAGAATTGAAACAGGTGGGATTACGGCCCAAACTCCACGCCTTCACCAGCTCCAAAGGCAATTCTGTCGCACACCGCAGGTTGAATTTCCTTTAGACCCCACTTCATGCCTGGTCACCTCTTGTCCATATTGTCCATCTTTTTGTCACTCTGCTGCTTTCCGAATGACTCCTCCTCAGCTGTTCTTCAGCTTGTTGACAGGCATCCTTCAGAGACTCCAGGGGTTTGATTCCAGACCAGGGCAATCACGTGAGTCATCATCCTTTTCCTGGTCAAGGGTCTTGCCCTCAGTTTGTATAAGTACAGCATCTGCGAAGCGCAGTAAAGCAAAAAGCACAATGAAATGCGGTATGCCTGTATTCTCTTCTCATCTGTTTCTGATCTGCTGTTGAACGGGCCCATTGAGTTTTTAATTTTAGTTGCAGTATTATTCACTTCTGGACTTTCTGTTTGCTTCTTTTTTTCAAATTTATTTGCTCATTTTGTTTAATAGCTAACTGTTTTCCTGAAGAGGGATGTATTCAACCTTTTATTTCTCTAAACATTGTAAACATGTTTATGATTTGGTCTGATAAGTTTAATATATGAAATCTTTGAATGCCTGCTGTCTGTTGTTTCTACTGGTCTACTCATGATGCTTTTATTCTTCAAGTACTTGTATTTGGGGCTGTATACCACTGATTGTCTTTGAAAAATTATTTGTGGGGATTCATTGAGTGGTATGACAAAGGTGTCTTTCTCCACAGAGATTTAGTTTGGCTTTTGGGAGTATTACAGTTCAGTATCATCCCAAACCAAGTTTATGAAGGTCCATAGATGGTCTTAGTAATGCATACTCAAGGAATACAACAGTCTATGAGAAGGCCACCGGTACTGACAAGTGCTTCCACGTGTTCCTCGTTGCACCTGTTGCACGGATAACCCTTCCTGCAGTCCCCTGAGCAGTGGGGAGGAGGTTTACCTCTGGTTCGCCCTTACCCTGAGAGTTAGCTCTTTGGAGTCCTGGCATAAACTCCTCACTTTGGGCAAGCCCTGGATCTTGACCTCAGTTTTTGGCAAAACTGAAATCCAAGTTGGTCCAGATCAGCATTGCTCTTGGGACAAAAGTTATCTCAATTTTTGAGATGCTTACCCTTTACTTTTTATCACCTCCTCAATGATATTGAAATTTTAAAAAACATTTTACTCCAGCATTGCAAACCCTCCCCCTCCTCCCCCACCGTGGGAAAGTTGGGATGAATAGACATCCCCTCCCGCCCCCATATTACCAGAATGGAAGTCTCTACGCTGGAGTTGAGAACCATGCCTCTGTCCATGGCAGCCCATGTTAACAGAGGGTAGAGCAACAGCTGTACATCTGGCTTATTATTGGGTGGAACACTCTGCTTACCTTTACCCAGATCTTTCACTTTTGTTCTCCCTAACGTGTCTCTGGGTATCTCCAATGAGATGGCTCAAGTCTCAAAGCAGCAGTTCCTTTCATGCAATAAAAAGATCAAGCAGTGCTTGTAGAAGGAGGCCAAGGGCATGGTGTCAAGTTGAGAATCCTTAGATGCCGGGAATTGGGGAGTAGGAACCACAGCGTCCAGGACACCTTAGGCTGATCCTCCCTCCCACAATCACTGTGTGCCGCCAGACAGTGAATGCCCTTCGATTAGGGCAGGGG